CTATTATGTTTTTTTTTTTAGATCTTCAGTGAATGAATCAGAGACTTGGGACTCTTTTTCCTCATTAGATGCTGGCTTCTCTTTAGTATTGATCTTGGTAGAAGAATTGAAAGTTTGATTTTTTGAATTATTATCCTAAATCACTGTTGTATAAAGGCTTGATAAAACATTATCCTTGATTGGCTTAGTAAAGGTTGGAATAATAAGATTTTCCACGAACTATCATTCGAAATTCATGTTTGTTTGTATCTAGAATTCCTTAAACTTTTTGAATCCATGGCGTTTCTAAACAAAGAAAGTAATCGGGTTTTCCATCATTAATAACAACAATATGTTCTGTTTCAGTAACCCATTTATTTTTATATTTTATAGATATTGGTACATCTTTATGTCCTCCTTCTAATTTCATTATATGATCAGAATTATGTCTAAGGGAAAAATTTGGTGCTATCTCAAGATTCTATCCTAATGCCTCATTTAGTGCTTTATTCATAACAAGACATCCCGATGCTGTATTGGCAAACCCATCTGGAATAATTATATCTTCAATTCTACACTGCATATATTCAAGTGATTCGGCCTATTTATTTTTTGTAGATGGGTCAATAATTTTTTTTCGCATTGCTGGAGATAATAATTCTAATAACTGGTCATCTGATTTTAGAAAAAGGTTTGGCATAGTGACTTTTTCATTTTGTTTAGATTCTGTAACTAAAGATTTGCATGAAATTACTGATTTATTCTGTAATGTCTTACTTATTGTTGGTGATATCCGTTTTTTTTTTCTAAATAGGATGGAGGGGCATGCCATTGATTATCTTTCTCATTATATTCACCTTCATCCTCCTCGCTATCATCTGAATTAGAAAGTGTGTATTGAGGATATATTGGCTTGAGAGATGTAAAATACAATCGAGTATAATTAGATTGGACTGTAGGTTGATTGGGGTATTTGCCCTTGCTATGGCCTGTTTCTCCACAAATTCCACATTTCTTTATATACACTTTTTTTTGTAATTGGTCTGCTAACTGATTTATAGTATCTCGAATTTTATTAAGCTCTTCTTCTATTCTATCCATTCTGACAGATTGGTTGGATTTTTGTGGTTTTTTATATAAGACTTTTGCTTGCTCGAGATATTTAAGGTAATCTGAATTTTGGATAAGTGAATCCATATTATTACCTTCTTGATCTACTATGTAAAATGCTTGCTGAGGTTTTTCTGATTTTATAGGGTAAAATTTGGGTGGGGGTTGAAAATTTCCTACTATTGCAACTTGTGGTTGTTGTGCTTGAAGTTTAGCCTTTAATTTTTCTATTTCAGCTTTAGATTCAGCTCGCTGTTTTGCAAATGTATCTTGAATCATTTTTTGCATATCAGCCATGGGAAATGCCGGTTGTTGAGGTATAACATCTGGAATAGCAGAAGCAATAGGTGCATGGCGAGGTTGAGATGGTGCCTGTTGTAATATTTCATAATGTAATTCAAGTTCTGCCAAACTATCAATAATATCGTTAATGGGTTTTGTTTGACTAATTCTATAAATTTCATCTCTAATATCAGATCTAACTCCAGATAAGAAATGTGTTTTTTCTGTGCTGGAGTATAACCGAGTTGATTGCCATATTTCTGAATTTTTGCCCAGAATGAAGGTACACACTCATATACACCTTGTCTTAATACTCCAATTTCTAACATCTTTATATATTTATTAGCAGTTGGATAATGTTTTTTTATTCACCAAAGCCTTTGTCCAGATCGAATTCCTGCTAGAATAATAGAAACACCTCCTCCAGCATTTGGTGCAACTAGTACTGCATTAGTTGGGCGTCCTCCTGCTATTGTCCAATCTTCAGCAACATTTCGAGCAGGGATAATTTGTGCACCTGTAAGTCCAAGTGGAACATTTGGGAAAAAAGCGACTGCACCCGTTATACCTCCTGCATTATCACCACGAATATGTGCTATTGTTGTACCTATACCAGAGTTATCAAGTACATTTTCTAACTCCCAATTTTTATTGTCAAATTCTCTATGATACCATTCTCTCGCTTCTCCTTTTAAGGATCAATCTAATATAGTGAGAATATTTGCATCATTATTTACTCTAGCCAAGGTAATATATGATATGAACCTATCTACGAAATCTTCATAATCTTTTTCACTACCATGGAATTCTGGTTGTGCAAATCCTACAAGTAATGCTATCAGTTAATTTTGCTGATTATTTACTAATGCAAAATTTTGTTGCTATAAATTTAAAATATTCTGATTTTGATTCAGAATTATTTGGCATTCATCTTTCTTCCATTTTTTATACTAATTATATAGTCGATCTCGCCAAAATTCATCAAGAGCTCTTTTATTTCAACAGTTTTGTATTTGTATACGCTCATCCTTAGTTTTATTCTTCTATTTTATATATCTATTACATATTCGGTCTTGCCAATATTCATTAAATGCCCGTTCATTTTCTAATTGCTGCAATATCTGATCTCGCTTCTTCTTATATATATCACGATTCCACCGTTCGTTTACCAGATCTTGTTACAGGTTAGCATATTTATGTCAAATTGATCTTGTTGATCTTTTAATTTGATTTGTTAAAACGGTTTTATATATTGTTGTATCATTTAAGGATCTGTCTATAGCATTGGCCAATTCAGCTATTGTGCTTATATCTAAATCAAAAGTATAATTATCTTGAGAATTTTCATCAGAATTAGATTCATCTTTATTATAATTCCATGCTTGTGTATTTTCTAATGCCTCTCATGTATTTATAAGCTCTAATCTATCTCGATATCTTAATAATGCTAATGCAAAATTTTGACAAAGCAGATCTGTAATACAATTTTTTTGCTGATTTATTTTATTAATCCTATTTATTTGATTAATCCTTATTGTATTTATTTCTCGTTTAAGGTGTTTGTTTTCATCTACTAATATGGTTGTATAATCTTGTTCTTTAGGCGTATTTCCAGCCGATTTAGATATCTCTCATATTCGGGTTTTTAATTTTGTTTCGCGTTTATCGAATTCTGATATTAATCTATCTTTATTAGAAATTTTTTTGTCTTTCCTTTTATTTTCTTCCTCGAGTTGGTGAACGATTCTTTTTAATTTTGAAATTTCTTCTATTAATTCTT